ATATAAGAGGGGGGGGGGGAGCTGTTATTAAACAACCTCCTGTTAACCCCTGGAGGTCATGGTAACTAAATACAGTTGAAGCCAAGTTTCTAAAGATTTCCTACAGAAATCCACTTGAATAATGAGAATATCCACAGCTACTTTAGCTGGGAAAAAGAAGATTAGAAACCTTGCTGCACTGGGGCACAGGCTAACCCCATAGCAGAGCAGCAGTGTCCTCCACCAATCTGCCTTCTAGGGCTTCTCACGCAGAAGCATCAGGTGGTATTTGCCCCGTGGTCTGGTGCAGGAGAGCCACCTCGCTCCCCTTGCCCTTTGCTGGCTGGGGAGAGGGCTGTGCTCGCACCGCAGACGCCCCCACCATCGCTGGAGTGAAGCAACTTACCCTTAGGTGACTGTGCAGAGCAGACAGGCAGAGCAGCAACAGACCCCAGAGGAACACCATATTTCTGGAACAGAAGGACCAGCTGAGAGAGAAGTTATTTCCAGCTGCCTGGCAGCAGCAAGTGGAGCCTATTCAGGTCTACAGGGAGAAAATTATCAACCTGGCCAAACAGGTTGGCGCAGGAGCTTGCAGAAAGCAATAGAGAGATGAACAATGCTGCAAAGAAACAACACGGGACTCCTGCGTCCAATGCCAAGGCAGCGAAATCAGAGAGCAACAGGGACCCACACCAGAGCAGAGCTGTAACCACAGCCAGGCTCCTACACGATGCTCTCCTGCTTGGATCCTGCGTTTCTGACCCCATCACCCTCATTCCTCTGGATTGCAAGTGGTATTTCCCTAATCAGTCCTGCACACGCCGTGCCTCTGGAAGAAGACAAGTCTCTGCTCCTTTCCTGTGCAAACCGCCAAAGTATGGGCACAGCACCCTCAGCCGTACCCTAGGCTCTTGGGAGAAGGGATACTAACCTGCCTCAGAGGGGCTGCAGGCACTCAGCAAGTGCTGTCTGGGAGGGACTTTGCAGGTAGAAAATGCAATACCAGAGCAGTTTCTCAGCAGTATGTCCCAGAATAGAGTCCTCCCCTTCCCAGCACTCGCCTTCCCCCTTTGCTGGCAAACCCAGCCTCTCCCACCCCCGCACTCCGGTACGGGACAGTGGGAGCAGGGCTTCCAGGGCCATGGATGAAACCCCACCCTGGCCACTGCTTCACCCAGCCACTTTTCCCTTTCAAACAGAAATAGCATCTTCTTCTTCTTCTTCTTAACATAAAGCCTCCATGCCAAAGCCCAGCTGTTTGCACAGCTGCCATACACTTAATTCCTGGGGCTGCTTTCCACTCTCCGAGCAGTCCTTGCTTTCACCCGAAACTGCTGGGCTGTGACCCCAGTTGCCAAGTAGAAGAAGCAAAACCTGAGGCCATTTCATTCCCCCTCCTCCCTCACCCCAAATCCTGCAGCCACATATAACCCTGAATACCCCTTTCCTCCCTGGTGGTGCCCATCTTTTAACCCTCTGCCAAATTCACTCCCCTTTCCCAGAGAGACACTATTGCTTATTGGAGGATCCCCCATTTACCGTCAAATCCTCATTTCTTTGCCCCTTACCTGAGGTTGTTCATGTCCACGTTGGAGCCGGCACCTGCTTTAGCCCGGCCGATAGCTCTGTGCGGGGCAAACGCAGTCTCTTGTCCAGCCCACCCCGCCTACCCGTCGGCGGCGACCTTCGGCACCACCCCCTATTTGAGAATTTGGCAGGCAAATATTGACCTACAGCATCCGGTTAAACATTTGTTTCGGGGATAAGAGTGAATTTGTCGTGCATTTGGAGATGGGGAGACGCTTTGGGCTGCTGTACCCTCAAGACAATGTTAACACCGAGTTTACCAGCTCCAAAACTCCCATCAGCAGAAGTAACATGCAGAGTCAGTTGTCCCTAGTACTGGCTCTGCTTTCCATATACTCCCTGTGCTGGGAACACGCTCTTTTATTCATAACCTTTAGTGAAAACACAGGGCTTGGTATTTACTGCCACAGGGCTCACTCTGTTTATGGAATTTTCTTTGCAGAAAACCCCAGATATTTACTCCCTGTATCCCAGCTGCTTCTGCGGCAGCAAGCACGGGGCGCTGGTTTTAACAGATGGCTGGTGCCCAAGGCCCCGTGGCTGCATACCCGAGCAGGAGGCAGCGATGCTTAGGCTGGGCTGAGCCAAGAGCAGCTGGTACCTCCTCTGGGACACAGCACGCACCGGAGCCCTGCCGGAGGAGTTGGCGCCGGTGCCGGGCTCCACGGCACGCATGCACCGCTGTGACATGGAGGAAGAGGCTCAGGGACAGGCAGAACTCCAGCGGTCCTGTCCTGTCCGGTTTTGTGCCTTATGCAGAAGCAATAGTGATCCTTCCCGGCTCTGACCATGTCCTCAGCGCGAGAGGAGTCACTAAGGAGCGGTGGGGAACACTAACGGGATCGCAGCGCTTGCAGCCATCCATTCCTTGCAGCGGCTCTTGGTTCCCAAACTCACCCCAGACGCTGGGAAGGAGTGGAAAGGAGACAGGTCTGAGCTCTGCAACCAGAAACTACTTTGAGACATGCCGCTGCAACGTGGGGAGCTACTTCCCCTTGGAAAGCAGATCCAAGTCCCTGTGCAGCAGTTCGACCTTACATCCAGGGCATCTTCACAGCATCCCCCCTCCAGCTCACCCAGGAACACAAGAGGTGCCCGAACGCAGAGCTTTAGCTTTGGCTGCCAGAGCAGGAGAGCTGCAGCCAGCACACCCAGCCCTGCACCACACTGCACCCGGGCCCCTCCAGCACAGAGCTTCCCCACACACCCATTCTCTGCATCTCTTTCAAAGAGTTTATTAGAAGTAAATATTTACATCTATTGCAAATGGTTAATAGGCAACACGGGACTGAGAGCTCCCCTTGAGTAGGGAAGGATAGCAAGGGCCAACTGCTCACCTCCTGGCCCTCCCTGGAAGCGGAGGACAGCCTTCCCAACTGCAGGTGGCTCAGATTGAACCGGCAGCTGAATGAAAGCCCTTTCCCCTCGCAGGACAACCCACAGCAGGCTCCTCCTCTGCCCAAGATAAGAGCTTCCCGCTCCCCCAATACTGGCTCTGACTAGGCTGAAGGATGGATGGGAAAAGGGCTGCAATGGCAGTGAGGCAACTGCTCCTACTGCTGGGTCAAACAGCACTCTCCTCACCTTTGGGTGCGGGAACAGGCGGTGCTGTCCCAAAGGGAAGGTCAGGAGGAGAGCATGCTGGATCATGCCTCCTGGCTCTCACCCTACAAGGGCAGGAGGGGACAAAACCAAGCACCTTTTTGCTGTCCTGTCTTCCCCAGGAGTCTGACCAGCACAAAGGAGAGGATTAGAAGGATGATTTCCTGAGAAACGCTGCCAGTGCGTGGCACACAGGGCATTTCTCACCCCCTAATCACAGGATGCAGTGCTGCTGGGGCAGGAACCAACAACAGTCCATCCCTATCCTACTGCTCCAGAAGCCAAAATCCTTATGGAAGCATCTAGCTCTGGCCTCCCTAGAGGGTCACATTCCCATCCCAAACTGTCCCTCTTCAGCAGTCCATTCCTAAATGAACTGGCGGAGCAGATGGGGGTTGTACCTTGGCTGACTTCCATTCCAGCCTTTGCCCTGGAGCCAGTAAGGCAACAGAAGTGCTCTAGTTAACCTCTCCTCCTCCCATACAGGCTCTAACTCAGACGGCAGAACCTAAAATTAATAGAGTACATCCTCTGGGCTTTGAGAGACCACAGGAGGAGGAGATGCCCAGCACCACGCAGCTCCAAAGGCGGCAGTTCCCAGGCCCAGTTTATACTATCCTAGTAAGACTGTTCAGTGGTTCAGGAGTGTAAGTGAAGGGCAAGTGCAGATGGCAGTAGCTATACCGTTGTGTTCTTGTCAAGGGGCACCTCTTACCCTTTAACTGAAGGAGAGAGGATACCTGTGGTCCATATCACTCTGGAGGGCAGCTCACAGTCCCCTGGGGATCAGGCACACATGGTATGGAAAGCTCCAGGCCTCTCTGCAGGGGTGACAGTGACCTACAACGCCCAGTATTTCTCCCAGCAGCAGCAGAGGTTTCTCAGTTATGGCTTTTTTCTTTTTAAAGATACAGAAAGAGGTTAGAGATGATTTACCGAGTGCTTACTAACAAGTACACCTCCCCCCTGCATCCTCTGTTCAGAAACATCTAACTCTGCCTCCTCCGTAAGCGACGCTGCCGGCTTTCAGCTCTACCACCAGCACTGCGGGACAGCCACAAGCTCCTGGGCCGGGGGTCGCTACGCCAGGAGGCGTACGACGCCGTTGTCCGAGCCCAGCAGGAGATGGCATTTCGTGGGCAGCACCGCCAGGCTGGTCAGCGTACCCCGAAAATTCTCCGAGCTCAGCTTGGTCGTGCTGATGGGCAGGGCTGAGGACTCCAGCATGGAGTAGACGCCGATCTTGTTGGCCACAGTGCCAGTGACCACTTCGTTGCCGTAGAGGTCAAATGCGTGGATGGGTTCAGATGCAGATTTGTAGTGGTGCAAAGGTTTCTGCTCCAGTTCCTTCCAGACAGTCAGGGAATGATCCGAAGAGGAGCTGATTAGCACATTGCCCTCTGTAGCCTGCAGGAGAGGAAAGGCCAGTGAACCAACACTGCTGCAGTACAAACTCCCAATCTCATCCTGCAGATGAGATTAGCAGGTAGCTGCCAATAATCCAACAGTCGCAGTGCAATCCCTTGGGACTGTCCCAGCCATTTCCAAGCAACTGATGGTACTGAGCAGTATTAACAAGGCATCCAGGTGGACACTGCAAGCTACAGGACTCTCTGGTAGCTGGCAACCTCCTCTAGTGCTATCCTCCAAGAGATGGGCTGTGCCTCTTCTCAACAACATCCTGATACCCAACACAACTAATTCATCATCTGTTACTACCACAGTGGGTAAAGAGATTATCATGCGGTCTCCCTCTCCATTAAACCACCTGCCAAATTCTTTTCCTTCTCAGGAAAAGGAATTGGGAGGCTCTCTCACAGTAGAAAATACTGCTGAGGGTAGGAGAGCCTGGAGCTGCCTATTAGCAGAGCTAGTGAGAGGGTAAACAACCCACATCGCTGAACTTTGTTTAACCTGCATTTGGGTTGATAAGAGATTATCATGCGGTCTCCCTCTCCATTAAACCACCTGCCAAATTCTTTTCCTTCTCAGGAAAAGGAATTGGGAGGCTCTCTCACAGTAGAAAATACTGCTGAGGGTAGGAGAGCCTGGAGCTGCCTATTAGCAGAGCTAGTGAGAGGGTAAACAACCCACATCGCTGAACTTTGTTTAACCTGCATTTGGGTTGAGGACACGGGAGCCCCAGCACCGCTCCCTGAGGGTGGGTAAATATGGATAAGAGTTATTCATTAGAGCAACGCTCTCCCAGGGGGGCTGAGAGCCCTGCGGAGAAAGCAACGCATTTGCTTCTTCACAGGAGACGTGGCTCCTTCCTGCCCCTGCTGCAGACCTGCTCGGCAGGGACTGACACCTGGGAGGGCTGATCTCCGTTCAGCACAGATTGGACCAAGAACAGCGGCCCGCAGCACTAACCATGGGGCAGGAGAGCTTGAGCAGCCTCTTAGGGACACAGCAAGGGATGGAGGAACACCCAGAGGATGGAGCGGACAAGCCCTGCCAAGCAGCGCATACCAGAAGGATGCTCCACGCAACCTCAGAGGATCGATGAGGCCCACAAAGCAGCCCCCCACCCTGATCCCAGCTGAACCTCTCACCTTGATCTGCAGGATGTCTCCCTCATGGGCAGGCCACCCCCGCATGATGAGTCCTGTCCTGGTGTCCAGCAGCACGATGAAACCAGAGGAGAAGCCAGCCATAACGCTGCGCCCATTAGGACTGACAGCCAAGCAGCGGATGAGCCCAGCGCTCACCCCACTGGCCAGGCGAAACTCGTGCTGCAAGAGAGAGAGTCCATCTGCTGTGGGACGAAGATCAGGGGATCCAGCATTTAGGGGACAAGAGACCCTGGTCCAGCCGGCTTTCACAGAGTCATTGCAGCTGGCTTTGGGCCAGCCGTGATCCCATCATTAAGCACACAGATGGAGGAAGGGGCTCGCAGCGCGCCAGACTCCCTACCTGTAGTCCTGGCTTCCTGTGATCGATGAACCGCAGCACAGAGTCTGCGCTGGCCACAGAGATGCTGTGATAGGGAGGCGGCATGGTGGTCACAGCTGTGATGGGGACTTTGCTGTCTAATTCATCAAAAGTCCGGAGAAGTTTGCCTGTGAAAACACGACGGAGAAGTTACAGCAGTAGATGTACAGAGAAGGTACACAGCAGATCTCCAGTTCTGCACTGTTTTCCAACAGGAGCCATCAAAATTCAGTATGGCCCCTCTGTCTTTAAGGACTGGACCAGTTCACTCCAGCCAGCCCTCACCCTTTCCCTTCTTACCTGTGAACTGGTCCCAGATGTGTACGGTCCCATCACAGCTCACCACGTGCTGAGATGCCTCCAGCTGGCTCACGTAGAAAACTGACTTCTTGTGCTCGGCGTACGTGAAGCGCGGCGGCACCTCACTGGTGCCATCCCCGTAGTTGTACAAGGGCCAAAGGCGGACAGTTTTGTCCTTGCTGCCACTAAGAAAGAAGTCCTCGCTGCTGAG